CCTGGAATCATGACCTGAGCTGAAGGCAGAGGCTTTAACCCACTGAGCCACCCAGGTGCCCCTCAAATCAGGTATTTTAAAGAGTCTGTTTCTAATATTATGTGACTTATTTCTCCTTACAGTAAGCTTCTCAAGCCTGCACCTTACTCATCCCTATGGTACATGGCAGTGTCTTGGTATAGTAAGAAATCAGTACTGACCCAACAGAAATGTGAAAAGGCATCTCCCAACCTCATGAGATTAATGTGGATGTCAAACTTACTCAAAGATAGTTTCTATATGACACATCGTATATACTCTTTGTGAGGCCACACAAAACGTGAGCATGTGACTTTGTGCGTGAGCGTGTGTGCATTCTTCAGCCACGCATCTACACATACAATGACCCATCTGTAGAAGCCAATCAAGTGTTTATAAGCCCCAGCCAGTTTTGAGTCCTTCAGCTTCTTTCAAATGCAAAATATCCATATACTCTTAAATAGTGAGTTGTCAAACATAAGGAAAGCTGCGAAGGATAATAAATGGATGCTTTCATCTGAGCTTAGAAACAGAACCATGAGCTTTTCAAAACATTTGAAGCCTTCCAGAATTTTTCCTTGAGGACTTCAGAAAGGTATGTAGGAGGACAGAAGTGTAAACTTCTTAACTGCTCTCTGGGTATTTACTGAGTTGATATAGTTTAACTTTTTAGAAGAAAATACTTATTTTATTGTTTCTGTGATAGATGCCACCAAGGGAAGTATGAGGCGATGTGACAGAATATAGGAGGTAACAAAGTTCCTCTGGGTGTTCACTTCCCTACCCTGGCTAGGGATTTTCTTCTCCATGATTCTCTCAGTAAAAACATTATTCAACTTGTTACTTATTAAATTCCTATCAGTATTCCCTCAAGAAGTAGCACCATGCTCATTTCTCATTTCTGAAGAGACTCACAGTTGAAGAGAACAGACTGATTTTTAAAAGTAGTGAAGTCGTTCTCCCATGAGCGGCTGATGGTGTGGGTAAGAAAAGCTGTGCACTCATCTAAGCCTCGACTCACTGCCCCCCTCAGTCCCAAGCAGGAGTAGCTTGATCCCAAGTTCCCCACTTTAGAGCACCCCAAATTTCCTCACATACATGCTGAATAAATTTATTAAAGACCTTTGTTATTTAGGAAAGAGTTTGCTGAGTTCAAAGAGTTCATGTTACTTTGAATACACTGAAATGGTTCTCTAGCGTGGGCAAAAGGTCACTCAATTCCTTTCAGGACAAGGCAGGGTGTAAAATGAAACAACTAGGTGCAGATCTGTATTAAGAATCAACATAGTAGATTTAACAAACACAATAAAATTACCAGTTCACTGCAATGGTACACTTAATTTTTTTGTTCATTTGCTTTTCCTATGAAAATAGAAACACGTAATCATGGAGAAAATTTGGGAGAGTTTTGTCAGCCATTTTTATTCTTATTTTTTTGATCAAAGAAACAATATGCTATTTTAAAGAAATGTTAAGAGAGGCATTAAAAGTCCTTTGTGATATTGTTTCTCAGAGATAACTATTATACAAAGAATTATTGGAATAATATACATAATAAAACAAAATAGTAATACTTTTTCAATTCAGTTTCTAGTATTAATTCTAGGTAACATACAGTGCCTTATTAGTTTCAGGTGTAAAATACAGTGATTCAACTCTTCCATACATCACCCAGTGCTCATCACAAATGTCCTCTTTAACCCCCATCACCTATCTCCCCCATCCCCCCCCATTCCCCTCTGGTAACCATCAAAGTATGTTCTCTATAGTAAAGAATCTGCTTCTTATTTTGTCTTTTTTTTCCCTTTATTCATTTGTTTTGTTTCAATTCCACATATGAATAAAATATATGGTATCTGTCTTTCTCTGACTCAAAATGTTAATACTTTTTTTTAAATGTTAATACTTTTTAACAGAGCTTTCTTTCTGTTAACAAATCATGTATAACATTCCACATGAGTACATGTTTATCAACTTCACTCTTTTTAATGACCGCAAAGAATGTGCAGTAATGGTCCCCTACTGAGAAATGCCTGCATTTCCAGTTTTCCTTATTTAAAAATATTACATTCAATATATTTCATCTTTTTATATCTCCAACAATATTTCAATGAAATGAAGTTCTAGAATTGCTGGATGAGAGGGTATGACCATTTAAAATTTGACAGCTATTGCCAAATTGACTTCTTAAAAGATTTTATCTTTTAACCCTCACAACAATGTAATGTGAAAGTGTGGCTGCAGCTTAGAATATTTTGCTGGGGGGCACCTGCGTGGCTCAGTGGGTTAAAGCCTCTGCCTTCGGCTCAGGTCATGATCACAGGGTCCTGGGATCGAGTTCCGCATCGGGTTCTCTGCTCAGCGGGGGGGGGGGGGGGGCCTGCTTCCTCCTCTCTCTGCCTGCCTCTCTGCCGACTTGTGACCTCTGTCTCTCAAATAAATAAAATATTTTTTAAAAAAAGAATATTTTCTTGGGTTTAACCAATCAAAGCTCAGTAGATCAGAGATGTACACATTACACAGTTTTTTAATCCATCTTTCTATCTTTCCTTCTTTACATTCAACTGTCCACATATCTATCGTCCTAAGTTTTTTTTAATACTTTTTTTAAAGCATTTTTAAATTCACAGCAAAATTGAGAGGAAGGCACAGAGATTCCTCACATGCTCCCTGTTCCCCTCCAAAGAGCCTCCCCCACTAACATCTCTCACCACAGTGGTACATTTATTACAACTGATAAGCCGACACTGACATATCATTATCCCCCATCCAAAGGCCATAGTTTACCTTAGGGTTCGCTCTTGAGATTGCAAATTCTGTGGTCTACAATAAATGCATACTGACATGTATCCACTATTCTGGTGACTGCAGAGTTATCTCCACTGAGCTAAAAATCCTCTGTGCTCTGCCTATTATCTTTCTCTTCCCACCAAATCCCTGGTACTAATTTTTTTCACCATCTTCAAAGATTTGCCCTTTCCAGTTGATCATATAGTTGGAATCATACAGTTTGCAGCCATTTCAAATTGGTTTCTTTTACTTAGTACTATGCATTTAAGTTTCCTCCATGTCTTTTTACACTGGATAGCTCATTTCTTTCTAGCACCAAATACTATTCCATTGACTGGATGTACCACAGTTAATCCTTTCACGTTCAGAAGGACATCTTGGTTACCTCCAAATTTTTGTCTATTATCAATAAAGCTGCTATAAACATCTGTATGCAGGTTTCTGTAGGGACACAAGTTTTCAACTCTTTTGGATAAAAGAGCAAGGATTGCTGGGCTTATGGTAAGACTATGTTTAGTTTTAAGAGAATGACCGGGGGGATGGGGTAACTGGGTGATGGGCACTGGGAAGGGCATGTGATAGAATGAGTACTGGGTATTATCTAAGACTGATGAATCACAGACCCATACCCCTGAAACAATCATTATATGTTGTTTAACTGAATTTTTAAAAAAGATTTTAAAAAAACGACCAAAGTGGCTGTAGCACAGTGAATTTCCAGTAGCAGTGCACGAGAGTTCCTGTTGCTCCTCATCCTTGACAGCACGTGGTGCTGCCAGTGTTCTGGATTTTGGCCACTCTAGTAAGTATGTAGTGCTATCTCATTTTAATTTGCATTTCTCTGATGACATAAGATATGGAGCATCTTTTCATATGCTTACTTGCCATCTGTAGATCTTCTTTGGTGAAGTTATCTGCTAACGTCCTTGGCTCACTTTTAATCTCTTACTGTTCAGATTAAGGAGTTCTTCAAATACTTTGGATAACTCCTTTTATCAGATATCTCTTCTGCAAATATTTTCTCCCATTCTGCGGCTTGTCTTTGTATTCCCTTTACAGTGTTTTGCAGAGAAGAAATGTTTCACGTTAAAGAAGCACAGTTTATTGATTCTTGCTTTCACCATACCTATGTTATAGGATCTAAGATGTCATCAACAAACTGAAACTCATCTAAATTTTCTCCTGTGTTACCTTCCAGGAGTTTTACAGTTTTGCATTTTACACTTAGGGTCTGTGAGTTATTCCAAGTTAATTTTTGTGAAGGGT